GTTTAGGGTTTAGGGCTTGGGGTTCAGTGTTTAGGGCTTAGGGTTTAGGGTTTAGAGTTTAGGGTTTAGCCTTAGGGTTAGGGATTTTGAGTCCCTCTCGACTGACTTTCCTCGAAAAATCTTGACTCCATTGTACTTGCTACTGACGCCACATCCATCCCAAAGGGAGCTTGATAGAAATGAGGGTGGCTTCATTTCGCCTCTGCTACCATCTTCAGACTGCCAAGAGAACCGAGGCCTGAATCATCAGGTTTAGGGTTTAGGGTATCAGACTAGGGTTTTGGGGTATACTGCGGTAAAGCTGTATAGGGACGATAAGGGATATCATTACTCGTTACGCCGACCTCCATGTCAGCACCGCCATGGTGCAGAGTCACCGGCCCACTCAAAGTGATCAAGCCATGTTCGGAAAGTTCCCAAGACCCAAAACCCTAAACTCATACAAGGCTACCCTCAATCGCCACACCGTCCGCTATCATTGAAAACGCCCCTCAAGATAGAGCCAAACAAATCCAGCAACACTGTATCTAGCTTGCCTCCTATCCACCGTGCTGGCTCCACTATACACGGCGGAAGGTCTCAAACCCTAAACCCGCACCCCTAGACAGCTCCTAACGAATCTCTAAAGAACCCTTTAAATCAAACCACCCTTCAGAACCCTTCACCCTTAACCATAAACCCTTTTTGCTGCAGGCTTGCANNCAATAACGCCTGGTAGTTAGCCACTCCTAAACCCCTAAACCCTGAACCCTAAACCCTAAAACCCTAAACCCTAAACCCTAAACCCCAAACCCCTAAATCCTGAACCCTAAACCCTGAACACACAAAACGCCCGGCCACTCGCTTCCCTCAGGTGGCCTGGTCCTTCACCAGCTCCAGGCCGATCCTGCTGACCAAGTTCCTGGCGACCACGGGGTCAGAGCTAATGTAGGGGCCTTAATAACTAGAATAGGGGTTTGGCCTTCTCTGTAGTATATTTATAACAAGGAACCCTAACAATAATGTTGGTAATTATCTAGGCTTCTAAATTAGTTCTTTCTTTGCTTTGATAGGGTTTTGGGTCGTAAGGGGCTTAGGGTTTAGGGTCTTAGGGGGTTTGGGTTTAGGGGGTTATAGGGCTTAAGGGGTTTAGGGCTTGAAGGTTTAAGGGCTTAAGGGTCTAAACTTGAGTCGCTCGCACAAGGCAGGCAAAATTTGAGGGTGTAGGTCTTAGGTTCGTTAAGGGCTGTATAACTAAGGGTCGTTTAACGAGTCTTTCAGGGTGCTTCAAAGTCCGGCTTCTTGCAAGGTTTGGGCTCTACCCACTCTCGCAACTCGGACTCCAGGTTTAGGGTTTAGATTTAGGGTTAAGGCCAAAAGTTTAGGGATGAGGGTTCAGGTTGTTCTTTGCAGGGTTCTGTTTAGGGGGTTCTTCGCTTCGGTTGATGGTTTAAAAGTTTAACTGCGTCCTCAAGGTTTAGAATAGGGTCTCGGTTTTTAAAGACGAACTGCAGAACCATATGGAGGCAATCAGGACATGTAACTACAACTTATTGACTTCGCTATACACCTACTTTTCACCACACCTCAAGGATCGACCCAAAGTACAAGTCAGGAGAGTCCTATACATGTAGGTAGAGCAATAGATCCGCTACCTCCAAGGTACCGGTGTAGGGTTGCAGAACTTATTGGCACTGCAGCAGGTCGCAAGTGCTTCGTACACCTACGAATGTGCCTGCTAATCTTCGATTTAGCAGAAGGAGTCCTTGCAACATGTTGGAGATTAGTCTCGCTCGAAACCACAGAGTTGCGCAACCAGTGTGCCGAGAGTGGGTGCTCCGTGTTGCCTCAAACTACAGCCTGAAATCATAGGAGTAATCACAGCAATAACCGATAGCCACTACCGACTGGGACAGGACTGACTACGCACAAGCTACAGAGCGTTGACAACATGCAACTGTATGTCAACTATGTGTAGGAAGATGAAACAATTTTACACTCAGCCCTAAACCCAACACCCTAATCCACAAAAAAGGCACCAAATCATCTCGAGGTGCCAAACGAAAAGGCACCCTCAGTGCCTTGAGGTCTAGAGCTTTAGGGTTTAGGGCTTTTAAGATGATGCTTTCGGGGCTCAAATTCAACCCCGTAGCATCTTGATATAGAAGCCTGCGAAATTACTACAAAAAAATCCTCCTTCGGGTTCCCTATCATACCTATAGTATGATAGACCCTAGGCCCCATTCTAATTACGAAGGTTCCCTTCCCGGCCTCACAACCGACGAGGCACACACGATGATCTCGTCGAAGCTTGTGGACCTCGGGGGCTGCTTCGAGATTCTATACTCACAAATCATAACCATGATTCGATCATGACCATGCTAATACTCATAGTGATAGCCACAATCATAGTAACAACCGCGATGCCGATCATAATAACGGAATTTGTAATAATAGCAATAGTGAAGGTTCATAATAATAGTAGCCCTACCTACACAGCAGACAAACAAGTCTTGTTACGAGCGAGAATGGGATTAATGAGTCTACACTATAGACACTGAAAGGTGTTCGATGATGTTTCACGACCGCCAGGAGTCTCGTCTTCAAAGCATGTCCGCTCGAGATGTCTGGAAGGGCTGTAAGCCCCTGTAAACCACATTAGTATGCATCCTGCCTCTATGCTACACATCTGAAAAGCTTTCGGGGGTATAACAGGGTATAACGTACCAGATTTCCAGCCCTTGGGCAATCGGAATTGGCTCGAGCTTCGTGCGCTGCGATATTCGGTTCTCAGACAAGGCCGTGACTGACGTCAAGAGTTTAGGGTTCAGGGTTTGGGGTTTAGGGTTTAAGGTGTCAAGAGTCTAGGGTTCGGAGTAAGGTTTGGGTTTTAGCGTCACAAGAGTTGTCTGCACATCCCGAAGCTAAAAGTCCTGCTAGAATCTCTTGTAGAACCCTTGTGGAAAGCCTTTCCTACCTAGCATTCCCGGAGAACCTCTGTGGAAGCCTTTGGAAGAAATCCTTTGTTGCGGGAACTTTTGTATTTGACCGTCCGGCTCTATGGCTGCGAAGCTGCCCCTTTGTGGACATGGGAATCAAGATGCTTCTTTAAAAGAATATGGGGGTTTGAGGTTTAGGCTTTAGGCTTCTTTAAAGCCAAATAAAAATAGGGTTTGGGGTGTCTTGCGCTATGAAGAGAGGGGGACTACGAAGGGATCCTATTCAGTAGTTCTTCCGATTCCTATACTAAAACCCACCTCGGAATTTTCGAAGATCCCAGCCCAAGCTCACAGGACAGCACAAAGGCTTGGCGGGTGGTAGTGGAGATGCTCGTGCCAGCCGTCGTCGTCCAGAGCCTCCTGCTGTTGCAATGTGTGTGGGTGATCGATGTCTCCGTGACCGTGACCGTGGTCGTGCTCATGGCCCTGGTCAGCAGCAACCTTGGCGGCAGTGTGCCTGTGTCGATGCGAGTGGAAGAGGAGAACCCAAAGCCAGTATGTGACAGCAGCCATGGTCACGAAGCACACGGAGCAGGTGATCAGTATATGAAACTGTGCCGGCTTGTCGAGGAACAGGCCAGAACCGTACATCACGAGGGTGCCGATAGAGGTAAGGGCCGTGTCCACGGAGCCTATTGCTGAGCGGTGGCGCGCGTCCGCGAGCTCCTGCTCCGTGTTTAGCACGGCGAGCTCGAACGAGTAAAGCCCCGCTCGTGCGACACAAACTGCGACCATAAAGATCAACAAAGCCGGCCCGAGGCCAGGCGTCTGAGGTGCCTCTCGAAAAGCGACCTGCGCCAGCATCACGCTGCCAGCTAGCCAAGTCACAGAGAAAGCCTCAGCAGGACGGCTGCCGATCAGTCGGCTGAGAATCGGGTGCCCGATCACACCAAGCACGCCCAGTATGGCGCCTCCACCTCTCAGCAGGGACAACTGCCAGCTCGCTACGCCTCGCTGCATGAGGTATGCGGTCAGGAGAGCGCCATGTGGTGACAGCACCGTCAGGTAGAGCAAGGCATAAGAGATGCTCAGGAACTGGATGCCGCTGGGGTGGCTGCCCCAAGCCTTCCATGCCCCTACCTTGGCCACCAAAGGATTCGCCTTGCGCTGCACCTGCTCGGCTGGCAACGGCTGCAGCTTCTCAGAGCGGGCTGCATAGATCTCGAGCAGAAGGCTCAGCTGGGGGAGGAAGGACAGCGCATTCAAGATCCCAACCACCACGAAGCCGGCGGCCTCGGCGTCTTCAACGCCCAAGTCGATCGCCAAGCGAGGCGTGATTAGAAGCCCGGCCAGTAGAGGGCCTACCGTCAAAGTGACCAGATCAATCTGGGACATCACGGAGTTTGTGTGCTTCAGCATGTCGCCGGAGAATAAGCGCGGTGACCAGTCCCGCTTCACGGAGACATCGCTTATCGTGGCACCCAACTTCTCCACGATACTGAGAGCCGTGAAGGCAAGAAGTCCTCCCACGTTTACCGAGCTTGGGTCAGCTTGCAGCACCAGAAGCAACACTGCCGTGCAGCCGAAAACTGCGAAACCCTGAGCAACCACGCCACCTGCAACGACAAGTCGACGATTTGCTCGGTCCGCCCAAGCCCCGAGTGCGGGCGAAATCATCGCAGAGGCGAAGGTCGTCGCAAAGCCCCAGAAAGCAGGGCCAATAAGCGATCCCGGCACGAACCGGAGAAGGACCAGCGGCGCGATGAAAAGCCATCCCTGAGTACCGAGCCTTGTGATCGCATGGCTCAAGAACAGCTTCTGCTGCACCTGGGCGTCTGTGAGCCCCGGTAACAGCGGCTCGGCTGTGGCCATCGTTGGCCGATGTTAAGGCTCACTACGCTTAACGCTTGGCAGCTGCACCTACAGTGCATGTGGGAAGTCATGTGACATGACAACTGCTGGGAAGTCAGGAGTCACTTCTCGAAAACTCCTTTCGTCTGACGGGATCTGATTCTTGAGCCGTGGCCAAAGACGAAGCATAGGGGGGTTTAGACCTTCATGTCGGGCTTAGGGTGTAAACCCTAAACCCTTTTGCATCCTGTAAGGTGTAGGAACATCCTGCAGAGCGGTTCAAGACCTGAGGGCCCGGCGGAACTTCGACGTCATTGGGCCAGGGTGCCTGGTCCACACTTTCTAGGGTGCTTAATAACTAGTAGCTAGAACAGAGGAGGCTCTGGGAGTTTACTATCACTATCGGGGGCCTTAGTAACTAGAATCTAGACCAAAGGAGGTTCTGGGGGCAAACTATACTCTAGGTACTCTAGTTATATGAGGATCACGCGGGAAGACTATCATTCTTCGTTCAGGCACCCGATATCGGGTTGGTACTTTGGCTTTACACCGGGTCCGAGGTCCGAAAGCCTGATCTTGATCTTCTGACCCAAGGAAGCCGCTGCTGTCCTAAAGGGTTTAGGGTTTGGGGTTTAGGGTTTATGATCCTAAAGCACCCCAACAAACCCAAGGGCCCTACAGTGGTCCGCAAAAGCCTCGCCCAGCAGCTGAATTTAAAGGGTTAGTTAGCGGACCTTGGAGCTTCGGATTCCCAGAAGCCCAGAGCTGTATGCTGTCATGAACGATTTAGGGTTCCCTAAACCCTAAACCCTAAACCCTAAACCCCTAAACCCTAAACCCTAAACCCTAAACCACAACTCGGACAAGCCAGGCGAGGATCCATATGTTCGCAGTCGGTGTGAAAAGTCATAAGCTTCGGATCACGATTTAGGGTTTAGGGTTTAGGGTGCACAGAAGATCACGGCGAGTGCAGCATGCAGCAACAGCACGTCCGTCTGTTGTACTGGGTTACTCGACCTTACTCGCATCAGCTCTAGTATTCTAGCACCAGCACAAGCATCAGCAACAGCAGCTGCAGCAGAATCAGCGGGTGTAGTGGCAGTAGTAGTGGCTGTGGCAGTAGCGCGATACATGATCTGTGGCAACAGTGGCAAATGATGGTTAGTCTTGTTATTTACGACTCAACCTTTACTCAAGCACCTTCCTTGGAAGTAGACGTCAACTCGGAAACCCCCTCTGACTTCCGTTATTCAACCTGCCATTCCCCTTGTTCCAGATCTTGCTCCATCCGGTGCGTGAAGCTGGAAGCTAAGTCCTAGCCCTAACCGTGCAGAACTTTGAGGAAGATAGCATGCTCCTAGTCCCAGTGTCTCACCTTGAAATACGGTTTAGGGTTGAGGGTTCAGGGCTCGAAAATGCCAACGCTCCGACTTTTCAGCCTTCACCTTTTACAAGTTTTAGGGGATTAGGGTGATAAAATCCTACGCTTAGGGCTTAGGGTGATAACATCCTACGCTTGAAACAGAAAACCCCAAAACCGCAAAACAAGAGCTTCCACGCGAAGCAGAGCCGAAGACCAAGGTAATGTAGGTGGCCTTAATAATTATAATATATTTACCTATACTATGTTGGGGGCTCCTTATTAAAATTGCAGTATAATGGGTTTCGGGTCCCATTATACTGCAATTTTGATAAGGAGCCCCCAACATAGTATAGGTAAATATTTCGGGTCCAGAAGTAGTGCCCTTAACCCCCCCCTCCCACCACAGTTCTATGAGCTGGGCCTGAGGGGGCTTGGCCATCGCCAGCCGCGTCCTACACAGAACGCAGGGTTTTAGCTTTTAGGGTTTAGAATTTCGAGATTTAGCACTCACAACTGGGACAAGCTCAACATTCAAGGGTTTGCATCTTCTTAGGGCTGTGGGGTGTAGGGTTGACCGCTCAGGTAAACCGTTGTAATAAAACCCAAAGGCCCAATGCCCTAGAACCGAAAAACTCTAAAGTACGAAAGCGCTGCCGACGCGATCAGAAACCCTGAGAAGGCCAAGCCGCAAGACCCCAAAGCCCAACAACCCTCAACCCCACTTAAAGCGCCTAAACCCGGGCTGCCTGCGACGGCCGAAACCCCAAAACCCTATAAACCCTAAACCACCACCTAAACCACCAAAACCCCAAAGCCCTTGGTAAACCACCAAAACCCCTAAGCCCTTAGACGCCCTGGCCCCCTTTTTTCATGTCACGAAAGCCGGCTTGCCAGTTCTTTGAACACCATCTCCACATTCCTGGGCTCGAGTTTCAGGCTTTGGGCTTCGAGTAGTATTCTTAAGGTTCGTTCGTTCAATTGCTTGGTTTTAGGCTTGTTTTGGAACGGTTTTGTGGGGCTGCATCCGGGTGTAGTTTTTAAGTGCCTAGAGCTCAGGGTTGACTCTCTTGTGGTTGGGCTTAGGTTGTTCCCAGGGTTTAGTGTTTAGGGTTTATTTTGACACTCACACTCGGACAAGCCTGGCAAGGTCCACCACGATACTGTCTTCAAAGGATCGTTATTGTTTAGGGGCTTAGGGTTTACCTTCAGAACCCAAAACCCACTTTTCTGTAGGTTCTTATTATAAACCCTAATATGGGATTTATAGGGACCCTACAACAAAGTAGGTTTTGGGTTCTTACGGTAGGGCTTCAAGATGGTCAGTTGCTGGCGGAGGTTTACTTCACACTCAGACTCGGACATATCTTGGGCTTGGGTCTAGGCAAAGTCTAGGGTAAGGTGTTGAAGGTAATTAGAGTGGGTTCAAGTTTACAGTGGGGGCCCAATTGAACCCCAAACCATGGGATCCTTGTTGTATCAGCAATTGCTCACGCCTTCATATCTTCATTTGCGCGTGATTTGGCATGGTCAGGCTGGCACACTTCGTCAGAGCTGTAGGTGGGTGTTCGACCGTGGCGCTGTTGTGTAAACCAGGCAAACTCCGATGCAGCACTGCTCTGTTGAAAACTGGAACAGCGACTGTGACGGCGACTCATTCTGGTAGTTGCTGTATATTCCTTTTCTGCAAGGGCTTCTGCAGTTGAGATGTTTGGGCTTTGACACAAGACGTTGGCTGTGGAGACAGGAGACTGAATTCGAGCCTTTCAGAGATCATCAAGACATAGAGGCTTCCACAATGCTGCACATGTTTGCGTCGTGTTTCGGGTCTAGATCAACTCATGCAAAGGTCCGGCACAGAGACATAGTGCACGAAGATCACAGGAGACAGGGTCCCTACGAACGTAAGGTCTCTACGAGAGGGACACATAGCGCGCAAAAGAAGTAATGTGGAACCTGATCAGGAAACCCTGGTCCTGGAATCCAAGAATAGTGGAATTCATATACGGAACCCTCATGAAGACCCAACGTTTCTTTAGCAGGTTCCTAACATTCTCGCAGCATGTCACGTGCACGTTGTCGAACCACAAGTCCACCAGCACCCAAACAATGCCAAGACAAACTGGCAGAAGCCTCTCGGGAAGGCTTCCACCCCAAACCCTGGATGAGTGCAGTCTCACACTCAAAACTGTCACCTCCCAAAGCAAGTTTTGGTTCTTCTGAACCAAGCCTTAAAGCCCAAAAACCCATGCCTCATACCCTCAGCGTTGTTGTCCAAGCCCCAAACACGAAAACATCACCCCTGCNNCCCCCCCCCCCCCCAAAGTCCCCAAAGTTCTCCATCCCAGGCTCCGCCCTTGAGCGCCGGAGACTTCGAAGTACGGCATCCCTCTGCTTTTCGCCCAGTCCCGTGCCACCTGCCGTGTAAGGGGCGAGGATAACCTTGACAAAAAGTCGGGGAAATAGCACCAACTGTGACAAGGGTAGGAGTAATAGGAAGGCTCAAGCAAGGAGGGAACAAGTGCAGAGTGCAGGGTGCGGGATGACGGTCTCTGACTTCCAAAGCTGAAGCCTGAAAAAGTATGGAGAACTCGGAGCCGCAACCTGAAACACATCGGCAATCTGAAACCTGATTCGATGGCCCAGAAGGAGCTTTAGCCGCTGTAGCCCTCATGCATTCTGCCACGGACAAGTGATCCCGATGCGTAGCATCCAGCAGGAGTGTATATCTGGCCACTGCCTGCTCTTGTACCAGGCGCGGATGCAGGTCTGTCTTTGTACCTGATGGAACATTAGGCTTGAGAAAGATGTCTTCGTTGATCGAAAGACAGCAGCAAGCTTCAACAGCACATGGTGTTGTTGGCAGGTTGTGACAGACATGAGTTGTAAAGGTTGCCAAGCAACTTCGAACTAAGCATATGTGCATTCTAGATCACCACCTGTAAAAACAATGTGCTATGCCATTTCTGATCTTGCCACTGCCGGTTGACAGAAACAGCTGCAAATACAATTTGTGGCAAGGGCCAATAAGATACCTGATGGAATCAACGGCAATGTGAACAAATTCTTCGCAACCGGCCACAGTGCATTGGTGCTGTCAGCCGTGCGGATTCGCTTGAAGTACAGCAAGCAAGACCAAACTGACAATTTCAGCCTGAAAATGTGTCATGCTTCTGATTGCCTTCACCAACCAAAATGCGGATCTAGCGCAGGGGGCCCCGGAGCCTTGTAGAAGGAGCTGTGGTGCGAGGAAGGTCACTCCGGAAAAGTCTTCAGTCTTTGGTTCTCACACCATTGCCATTTTGAGCAATAGACCGCCCATAGCACACTTGAATCTTAATGCAATCGTAAGCCCTCAATCCGAAATCCGAACGGGATCCCGACATCTGAAACCCAAAACCTGAAATCATAAACCGAAACCCTAAGCCTGACAACCGAATCCCCAAGCCCAACATCCTAAACCTTTAAGTCCACACTCCTAGGCCCAGAGAAACCAAAGCCGGCCCGCCTACCACGGCATAGATCGGTTCACTGCCTTGAGCGTACCTCGTCACCTGTCGCAAGTCACTGCTTACTCACGGGGTTGCTAGAGCGCGTCATGTTCTAGGTGCGCGTGTGTATACAAAGAGATGTATACGCATACGCACACGCACGCGCACTCACATACACGTATGCATATACATACATACATACATACATACATACATACATACATACATACATACATACATACATATATATATATATACACATATACACACATATAGAATCTATACATATGCAGACGTGTAAACATATATACAGAAAAATATAGAATATGAGAGAAAGATAGATGACAGATAGGCAGATAGGCAGATAGACAGATAGATAGATAGATAGATAGATAGATAGATAGACAGAGAGACACATGGATAGATAGATAGATAGATAGATAGATAGATAGATAGGTAGATAAATAGACAGAGAGATAGATAGTTAGATAAATACATAAACAGATAGATAGACAGATAGACAGGTAGACAGGTAGACAGGTAGATAGATAGATAGATCGATAGATAGATAGATAGATAGATAGATAGATAGATAGATAGAGAGGCATAACTGCCGGTGTGCTTGCACGGTAACAAACCACAGTGCACGATAAACACAAGCCATCGAAGCACACCTTCCTAAGCTTCCAATTTGGGGGATTCCTTATCGGGGTCCCTACACCAGGGATCCTACCGTAGAGCTTTCATACAAGGGCTCCTGACTCCTGATGTCAGCCCTTGACCGGTTGAGGGTTTCGGATTGAACCTGAAATCACCAAACCCCTGACCCCACCAAGTACTGCCAGCATCCACAACAATCAAACCATCATCGACATCATACAGGCTATCGCCATCGCCATCTTGATCCTGACGAACCACTGGATTCATTCTTGTGCGCAGCGCTTAGGAGGACCTGATATGACCCGCAAGTTTTGTAACAGGAGCGGCCGACATTTAGATCTGTCCTGCGCACTGATCATTACAAACAGCCCAAACCGAAAGCCGTAAACATTCCGGTAAATTGCCCCCCTCCAGCGAAAAAAACGCAGCAGGTGAGTACATTTTCCTCGAAGCTTAAAGTCACAATGCTCAGGCTCTACACCTGCTACAGTACAGCTTCGGGATCGGGTAGTATCGAGGGCTGAAGAGCTAGATCAGGATCCTATAGGCTTACTGTAACGATTACTGGGCACAGGGTCATTAATATAATGGTGGTGTTTTTATAGTGGCTATAAGATAACCCTAAACCCTAAACCCTGCAAGCCCTAAACCCTGTTTCACAAGGGACTCGACTGCTGCCCTTACTGCTCTCGACCGTAAGTCTTTTTGGAGCTTATTCTGACCGCCAAATTAAATCAGCCCTGATCCTCTTCAACCCAGAAGCCCCGTTTCTGCATGTGCACATAGAACCCCTGAAACCTCGAAGAGTCTTGTTTCTGTCGCCAGCCGGGAAGCAAAGACCCCAAAGTCCTAAACCTAGTAAACCTAGTAAGCCCCACATGTTTCGCCATTTCTCCGACCCTGCAGCCTGAAACTCGAGACCCCGAAATACTGCCAAAGCTTACTAGAAGGATCGGGGACCTAGTCACTTAGTCAATTACCTCTGTAAGCTCGAGCTTCGTCAGTCGTATCCGAGGCACCTCGTCCGTCCACTTCTCCAGATTTTGGAAGGACCGCTTGGATGTCACGTCAAAGACCAGGACGACTCCTTGAGCTTCCTGCTCGGGCTTTTGGGATGGCGGCTTAGGGCGTGACTAGGCTTCTGGAGTCTAAAAATCTGAGCTGCCGCAAAGTTACTGGGCCTTTGGGCTTAAGGTTCACGACGGGTTTGGGCTTCAGGTGGTGGGGTTCATACCGGTGGTGGTGTACGTAAACGGGGAGAGTAGTAAGGTGCTGAACAGGATGAGGCTCAGGGCCCCCGGAGATGGAAGTCTTGGGTGAAGTCGCGTCGACTTTCTGAGCTAGCCCTACCTTAAGAACCCAAAACCTACCTTTTTGTCGGGTCCCTATAAATCCCATATTAGGGTTCATAATAAGAACCTACAAAAAAGTGGGTTTTGGGTTCTTAAGGTTCAGGGTTGAGCACAAAAGCAATCAATATTAAAGTCGTTTGTTCCCATCACGGTTGAGGGTTTTGGCCAAGCCCTGAGCACCCGAACTCAAGCCGCTGAACCCTAAACCGTAAGCCCCTGAAGCCCTAAGTCCCAAACCCTGCACCCGAAGCCCCAAACCCCAAAGAAATACCCCAAGCCCTCTGTTGGTTTGACCCCTACGCCGCCTTGTAAAACTCGTTCCGCACATCAATGAACTTGAGGTCGCCACTTGCCTTGGCACGAGCTGGGGAGATCGTTTGGATTTGTGTTCGCGCTTCGCGGATGTTCGGGCGGTTGAGGTTGTTGAGGGCTTTAAGGGTTTCGGGTTTAGCAGCTAAGTTTCCATCCTGGGATTATGGGGGTTTCAGCGCCCACATTCGGACAATCCAGAGAAACTCAGAATAGCTGAGGAAAGTTTCTGGCCTCAGAAAGGCTTACGGTTTCTACCGGCCTCGACCCCCGCGGACGCGCGGCAAAATCAGGGCTGATGATACCGCCTTGGTGTATTTTTCTCTCAGTATAAAAAGGATCCCAAGGCCCTCAGGAATACTGCTGGCAACAGTTAAGGCCCCTGTAAGCTTGCTGGCAATGAGCAAGGTTGCATTTCTCTTCGGTCATAGAGGGCACTAAACGACCGAGCCCAAACACGAAGACCTAAACTCTGATCTTACGTAAACTGCTGAGTCTCGCAGCGTAGGCTTCAACAGTTTCTGTCTATCCCTAGCCTTTTGGCCCCTCATAAGCTGACACTATTGACCTGGTCGAGTGCCCCCACCATGCTCCACCAAGAAGAAGGGCTACACTGACTGCACCCTGAAATTTCGCCTTGCTCCCCGTCTAAACCCTGAACCAAACAGACTTAAAGGACATAAGGCCTACACATTGCATGCCAGCCCGGAAGCTCAAAAGCCCTGGATAGTCCTCAACCCTAACCCGAAAAAACCCTGGCCTAAACCCTAAACCCAACCCTAACTTGACACCGAGTTGCGTCCCAGATGTTCACGCGGAAGTCTTTACCTTCAGAGCCCGAACACACACGTGGGAAAGCTCCGGAAATTAGAGCGGTGCCTTTTATAGGATCTTAACATGAAGGATCCTACCTCATCTAAGATCTATATGGCTGTCTTCCGAAACTCCCAGGTAAGCTTTATATAGGGTTGCTGCGTGCGTTCACGCGGTCTGAATCAAGGGCTTCGGGCTTGGAGGTGCAAGGTTTTTTGGGGGTTTCGAAGTTAACGTAAGGTTTACGGGGCTAGGAGTTGTCGCTGTGCACTACTTGAATTATACGGCGTCTTCTAACTACTCGTCGTGCTACGCCCCTGATGGCGGTAATTATGTACGTGTAAGTTCGGGATCCGAAGTCTTGGGTTTCGGCCGTGCCACGTAAAGACGACTCCTGCGCAATGCGTGTTTGCAGGTTCCAAGAAGCTCCAGGAGGGAACGTTTTCGAAATCTTACCCAGAGAGCCCAAGGAATACACGTTGCCCAGCATTGTCTCTACACCCTACATCCCGAAACCCTTCGTAGAACTTCAGGGCCCTAAAGTAGAAGCCCAAAAGCTGGAAACCCAATAGCCTCTATCCCTAAGAGCAATATCTAGGGAATCCCAGCACTATTTGACCTTAATTCGGTTTCCAACTTTTGGGGGTATGGTATAAGGTTTAAGGGTTTCACTTAACTGCGATCCCTGGACAAGCTTCTTTTGAACCTTTTAGACAAATCCGACACACCCACCCCGTTCAAAATGTCTAGTGCTGGAGATTTACATGGGATCACAACCCCGAGTGAAAGGCTGAGCACGCGAACAAAAATTGCAGAAAGCTGGGACTTGCAGAAACCTCACGAAACCCAGAGCAGCTGAAGGTTTAGGAGTTTCGCGCTCTCCAAGAAACAAACCACTACATCCCTCCCCGCTCAATCTAGAGTACAACAAAATCACACTAACCCCGGATCCCTAGTAATTATTTCCTTCTCTTCGTGTCTGAGTACCCTAGCCCAAAAAAGGATGACCCCAAACGGTTCAAGGTGGCGAGCTCAGCTTGAAAGTTCGCAAGCCACTAGACCCTCATCCCTCGTAGCCTTTCGGGATCTTACGTCAGTGGGTAATGCTCTAGATTAAGAGTCCCTTTCAAAGTACTTGTTATAAGGGTGCCGTACTATTTGGGGGGACCGGAAATGGGACCCTCATGTAGAGCACTACTCGAGTGTGGGCACGGGGGTTCGGAGCCAGGGGCCGGCGTGCTTGAGCATCTTCACCTTGAAGTCGGCACCGACCCTGGGATACTTGGCGCTGAACTGCGTACGGGAGCCCTCCTATACCCAGAGATCCCAACATCCCTTAATTGAGAAATATACCTAGAGTTTTGCGGGCCTGAATATTATGGGTTTCAAATATATTCCTTAATCAAGGGTATTGGGCGCCCTCTATACCCTGAGTAGGTCTTTGTGCACGGGAGGTCTTCCGGAATGCAGCACTTCGGAGTCAAAAACCCTGCCTTTTTTCCCACAAGGGACTCGGCTGCAAACCCTATCTCCCAAACCCCTAAACCCTAAACCGCTAAACTCCTAAACCCTAAGCCCCGAAACCCTAAACCTGAGGTTTTGGAGCACAGAGTCAGTCAGTTCAGGGCTTCGGGCTCCGAGTGGCGTGCTCAGCAGACTTAGGGTTTAGGGTTTTTGTTGTTTTGAAGGCCCCTTTTCGTTGGTGGGCGATTTGCACTCTCGCATCTGGCTTGTCCGGTTCGAAGGGAGGCACGTTGACCTCATCAAGTGGGCGTTTTAGGGTTTAGGCTTGTGTGTCATTCTCCTGTCCGCGTCTTCCTGCTGAGCTAAGGCACCCGGAAGCCCCAAACCCTCAACCACAAACCCCTGAACCCGAACACCCCTAAGCCTGTATCACTGAACCATGAGCAGCGCGCAAGTCCCAAAGCCCCCTCTCCGCCCGGAATACGCTTCCAATTCAAACAACTACTTTTTGCCCGAAGCCCTCTGCCCTCAAACTCCAAAGTTCCAAGATCCCTGAAAAGCCTTTCTAGCCCAAACCCTGTGCACCCTAAAACCCTATGACCCCAAGCCATATGAAACTCCATGAAAGCCCCATAAACCTCCATCAAGCCCAAAGCTCTTAAGCCCGAAGCCACGGGTCCGAACAATCCTAATATAGGGTTCTGAAGAATTAGAATAGGGTTTCGGGGCCCTTTTT